ACTCTTGAAAACCCAACCTCCCAATTGGTTAAAAAAAATATGGTGCTAAAGAATTCTACACTTGATTTTCGTCAGAACTGTAAAGTTTCTCCTTTTATTCAAGCACCTTTCAATACTATAAAAAAATCAATTACCACCATGCGCTGAAAAGGCATGCAATTGGATATATTTTATGAACCGTTCTTTGTTAACGTTACTATAAAAACCCTTGTGTCGAATTTCACCTATCAAATAGGACATCGAGAGCATTGGTCACGTGTCATAAAGCTGGACAAGGTATAGCCAATTTGCAGTTTGGAAGCCTGAACTAGCAGAAATTACAATAATGCTTTATTTTTATGGGAAAAATTTCAAGCGCACGGAAGGAATAACAAAGATGAATGAAGAAAGAATATATTCTCAAAGCTTGGTTCCAACAAAGAACGAGATAGATACCGATAGATTACGAAAAGATACGTATACGATTGACTGATACCATCAAGATAATATATGTTATGTACTTCGTTTAATACAACCCCTGTCAGAATAAATTTTGTTACAGCAATGCTGTTTGGGATATCAGTTTCAATTTCAGGTCTTCGTTTTCATACCGACTCTAACAAGAGATGGTTATGACTATTTCATTCAATGTAATTTTATAGAGGATAAGAGTCGGTCCAAAAGTATCCTTAAAATAGAATACAGAAATGTCAGGGTGGCCAAATAGATCTTGTGTTTCAGTTTGTATCGATTTTTGGAAAAAAAGGTTTTGAATATTAGTTTCAATGTAACTACAAAATATAATATATAAAAAAAGAAAGTAATACAAATTATGAAATTATAAAACAGCAACAAATATTAATTGGCGCTCCGGGGCGACTTGATTGATTCCGGTGGCGCATTTGCTTTTTCAGCTGCAGGAAAACCCGGAAAAACTTACAGCACCACATCATCTGAAGATCTTGATCTGCCAATGTCCTCTCTTTCATAGAATAAAATGTATGGTGTCTTCAGAGGCTACATACTATATTGTCGGTTGGAAATGTATAAGAATATATAACTATTCAATCATTTTCAAAAAAAAAGTGAATCTCATTGCCATGCTGACTTAGACATTTTTTTAGTAACATGTTTGTTCTATCTACCTTTTTTGCTATTTTCTTAGTCTAATGTGAATATTCAACTGTTGCACTTACAAAGATGAATGAATAGGTGATGATACACTAATAATTCATGACGGATATTTTTGAAGCTGCTACTGAAATAAATCAAATATGGATATAACATACTTCATTATTCATATAAATTGCACATAAAAATCACTTCTATTATCTTTTTCAAATCTATGAAAACTTCGAAAGTTGTATCATTAAGAAATGCTAGTTTACTGAAAACCCATATGATTGGTAAAGTATGTAACTTATCGAATAATATCAAGAAAGTGTTTTTGATTATTCAAAATCAAAAAATCGTTACACTGATCAGAGTGAATCTGCAGGAAATCTTCACTTTCAGAAACCGTAAAAAGCTGATATAATAAAAAACAACCAAATTCCATATTGATAAATTTTATCGATCCTTTTCAACTACTAAATTTTTGAACAACCATGTCAATAAAGCATAACCAGAAAATGCAGGCAACCATCACATAACGTAAGAAAAAAAGCTGAAATTCAAATTGTTGCCTGTTGAGTTTTCAGTGATGATTCAATTTTTCAATCTGATTAAGAAGGCGGAAATCTCCATCGAAATAATCTTTCTCTCCCCAACTATATGTAGCACGGTCCCTCTGTATCATATGAAAAAATGTCACTTGGCCGTTGTCACCTAAAGTTGATTCTGAGAAAAAAAAATTTTTGTCGTGATCTTTCTCCACATCCATACATCTGTTAATTTTGGTGTTCAATGAAAATCCATATCAAAACTTACTGATAAGATTCATTTTGACTCGTATTCCGCTATACATTAACTTTCGTTATGACTAAAATATTTCAACCAAGTCTGGCAGCAACATTTGTCTCACATTTATATCTGATTATTTTTTTTTGATGTTTCTGAAGGATTAAGTAAGATTTTAAAAATAGCCCGCCATTGCTATTTTTTCGCATCACTAATTTATTTTTAATTTATTACCGTCTCGACATTTGCATGCCACATTGTAATTATGTACCATTAAAAAATGGTAATGAAGTTTTAATGCGTGAATGAAAACGTCTACAAATTCCATGGATTATGTTAAATTAGCAATTAGCACCTGGTGTTGAATAAATATCTCCTTATGTCGCGTAATAGTTTTATATATAATATTTTTGTTTCTTCTCTCCATTGTCCAATAATTCTCAATAATGATTTGTTTACTAACTTACTTGAAGCATTGCTCGTATTTTTTTATTATCCTTCGAGTAATTTTTTCCAATTTCGTATCCTAGGAAATAGTTATTTACAAATGCGTATAAAACGACTGCTCACCTCAAGCCGGAAAAGACTGTTTCAGCATGTGCTGGGAACAATTTTCCAGAAAGAGTAAAAGTATATTGAATCCAAAATTCTCATGGTTCGGCAACCCAAACTAGTGAATAATAATATAATTCAATTTACAATTTGTAGCATTATGCAGATTCAATTTTGAGTTCAGCTTTGGCAAAAGCTGAGGACAAACAGTCACAGTTTGGTACTTGAGGATCGGAATGTTTTTTCATGATATTATGACTAACATTCTTCTTATTTTCGAGAAAATTTTCAAATTATGATTCAGACACATATGTATATCGCCCGCATTTTCATTGTCGATGATGTTCGCTCCATCATGGCGAATGGCAATTAGAAGCATTCAATGTTAGATATTGTGACAGAATTATTGAGTCCCACATATTGTGTCGCAGACCCAGAACAGAGATATCAACCTGCTTAGGAACCTATGCAACTGTATTTCAAGCGAAAATTTACGGTATTGAATTGTGTGCGGAGAGATTGGGAGAATGCAACGTCATATCCACAAGAATCCAACCACAAGTCAATAAAAATATTCTCGGGCAGTCAAGTGGCGTTGGAAGCTTTTGGCTCCTACCGAGCAACGTCTAAATTGGTAGCAAATTGACAAAAATGAATGGCGGTGCAAGCAGCTTCATCGGACCAGAACCTGTCGTTGGCTCACTCCAAGGCGTTTATTCACCGAAGCTTGGTACCAAACAGTTGTTGGACTACAGTAGGGATGAACTACGATGTCTAACAGGCCTTCTTACAGGTCACTGTCATTTGAATCATCATAATATGCAAAGACTCGGTCGGTTTGGAAAATAATGAAACAACAGAGCACATACTTTGTGCCTGCCCCGCTGGGGACTGAATCAAGTTTGTAAGAGTTCGGCAGAGCCGTACTCTCACCATCTGATCTGAGAGATCTTTCACCTTACAAACTAATCGGCATCGTTAAGAAGCTGGGTTTATTTGGGTGAATAGGTGTGAGCCACAATAAACCCTTGCGGGTTACGGTGGAGGTCCTTTTTTCCAAAGGATTCTCTTTTTCAAATCGAACGTTTTGTATAGTAAATCATTGAAAAGGAATACTCATTCACACTTTCAAAAAATTTGTTAATTTCATTACAGTTAAGTCGTTACAAAAGCCACGTTACAACTACAGTCGCGACATCGTCCCTTTCCAACATTTTAATCTTCGTCGTCTAGTTTCTAGCGCCTCCTTAATCCTTCACATATTATCATTACAAACTCACTAATTACGTTTTCAGCAAGTCGAGGTTTCACGGATGGCAAAGGGCGGTACATGTGCCCCAGAAATCCCCTTTAACGTTAGATGACGAGAAAAGAGTCTTTCGATAAGATATTCTCGACCTAATGGAGTCGGTGATAAAGGCGATAGTCCAACTCGACCTGCTTTTCCATTGGGCTTATCCCGAAAAAGCAGCGGGCGCAATAAAGACCCATGTCTTGAAATACGAGTTAGTGAGAAGTATGCCAACTGTGAAGGGCAAAAAACAACATTCTCGCTTCATCTACACCATGTGGAAGACGCCGCAAGTTGTAATTAATTTCCACTTCGTGACGCATTATTTTTTGTAGGTTGGTGCACCTCCTTCATTTATTGTCTTACTGATTGTTTTCTGAAAAAAATCAATTGATGTAATTTGATTCCTTCTCAAGTCTACCGAACGTATCTATAGTCATGATAAAATATTTTTAAATTGTTCATTTATCCACATAAACATATATAGGGCTACTCTTTGGACAACTGAACCAAATGAAGGCTTTAGCTATAGACAATACTACAGATGAACAAAGGCAAGCAACTTTTTGACAACCAAAATCAATCTAGAATAATATGACAAACATCTAACGAGGGACTGTAAAATGTAGTACAGAAAAGATATCTGTTGAAATGACTTTCCTGAAAATCTAGAAAAAAAATTAAAGTCCATGAGGCTACAGTGTTTTTTGGAGACTAAACAGTTTCAGATAGCATTATTATAATATTGGTAGCTTAATTATTTTCATATTTAACAATAACAAATGTCTGGATTCATCGATTTTGAAATAATTCCCCCTTTGCTTTCAGGAAAACTAATTGGAAAAAAAATTGTGGTCAATGTATTATTATCTACTAATTTTTTTCTCACTATTTTAAAATATAACCCAAAATACGAACACCCTTTATTGAGTAAAACGTGTTTCGAACATTTCCTGCTTACTTAGTGCTCTCCCTTTTTCCAAATCAAATATGGAAGTTATATTCATTCTTATATTGCTCCTAGTTCATCAGATAAGACATACATTTTCATAATAAACCAATATTTTCAGTACATTGTGGAAATATTGCACCGCAAACTAACCAGCTTTTCCAATTCTCCCAATGAATTCCACCCCCGATAAAGTACAATTTTCTTCATATTCGAGAGAACTTTTCACCTAACGCAATAATAGGAATTTCCCGTCTTTTCCCAACTACAGTTACAAAAATACTTCAACAACGAATTTCTCTTTATAGAGTTTGTTTCTTTTTGTTACAGGACCGCCATGTCAAGGACTCAGCCGGAAGTGCAATAGACAGAGAGCCGGAAGTAGATCCCAGCCAGGATTACCAACTTTTATTGGGATACGAGAACAACACTCACACTGTGCTGAGATTCAGGAGGAGGTTGGATACGTGCGATCACCATGATATTCCAATTACTGTAAGTATATAGAGTTGATTTTTGTAGTAATTTTGTTCTACTTGCAGAAAATATACGAAAATTGTTCACTGGCTAGAAACTGTATTACATTTTTTGGGTCATATAAGTGAACATATAAGTGAACACGGAAGTGAACATAAGAAGGTTCATTCAACTTTTTTAACGAATCGGTTTATCGGTTATCATAATATCCGGCCACGAATTCTATTTGTATTCCAACAATCCCTCAGGAATAAAAACAATTTTCTCCGGATTCATACATTAGCATAAAATGTATCAATTGACTTCGTGAACTTACATCGTAACGAAAAAAGTTATAAGAGCTCTTTGATGTTCTTTGATCCCTGAATATCCACACAGGCAATAACAAACTTGAAATTAGAAAATTTCTTGTAGGAACTTTTGAACAGATATTAATCAAAATTACTTGGCTTCAGGTTTTGGCTTATCGGAGTTGGATAAATAAAGAAGTTCCTCAACTCCTTTAATCATCTTCGTGTGGCAGACTTCCAGCCCAAATTTGCTAACTACTTTGCAGTTCATTTTTATCGGAAATACCATCATCGTAATATCGAACTGACGGAACAATGTGTTTGAAGTTTTTGTAACTTTATGTTTGGTAAACATTTTACCGCTTGATGAACAAAGTTATCAAAATAGTAAAATTGTTCTAAGTATTCTGGCTAACAAAATAAATTGGGAAACTTTTTCATGGTCTTTCTCACCTCATCCGCGATGTTATTCATTTCTATTATTCCTATGAACACAGTATGTTTATAGAACTAAATACGTAGAAGAACATTTCACGAAATTATACAGTCCACTTGAAATAAATACTAATTTTCTCACTTCGTGATCTGACTATGATAATTATAACCTTATAATAAACATGATGAGAAAGCAGACATTGAACACAGTTCATAGGACTATAATATCTATATTTTCAGTTCGAAAAGACAAATAAAAGTCGTCAAGCTATGTGGGAACGCCAACGGGCATACGAGAATTAATTGCCCCAGTGTGATTCATTTGCATGTTGGATGTGAATGAACTTCCACTGAAAAATAAATAGTTTGCTCAAATATAGATAGCTGAAGATACTTTTGTTGTTCTTATCTGAATTGACAGGATTTTACATTTTATTGTGACCTCTGAGTTGTCAGTTCTTCCTTTCCATTTTCCTCGTCAGCTAGCGTTAAAGGTGATCTTGGTGATTTAGTTCAAAATTGGTGATATTCGATAAGAATTAGGGGATGGTAGGTTTTTATGTTTTGGTAGGAGGTTTTATCAATGAAGAGTTCAAATATAGAAATACTTTTGTCGTATGACCACCGTTATGACGATAGTCATGATAACCAACAACAAAATATAAATATTCACCCCCCCCCCCCCAGCAATATCCCAAAAATATTCAAAAAATGTCGAAAAAGTAATTCAATTGAAAAATGCATAATTTAGTTCATTTTTATGGTTGTGAAAAGTGACTCTTTCTTTTTTGAACATGAAATTCTGAGTTTTTCCTAGAAAGCTTTTTTGCTCACTATGTTCTCATCAACTCACAAAAAGTAGGGACATTCCAAAATTTACAGTCGCACAAGAAAGGGTAATCTTTCTGTGAAGAACACAATTAAAATTGTCCTACTTTAATGATAGAAAATCGTTTGGCCTTTCAACTTCACTAGCCTGAATTTATGAAGTTTTAAATTGAATAGTTTTAATTAATAAAAATTCGTCACAAGAATGCATATATTAATCACATACATTTCATTCGAATACAAATTGGAAGAAACTTTGCATCCATTATAACAATTATAGTTATAGATTTTTTTGAAGTAAAACTTTCTTACGCACCCTTGGGCGTTACAAAAAGTGTGATCGGGTGAGGCGAACGGAAGTGGTATAAATTAGTCAGGATAGAAAGAGAAAGAGGTTCGTTTCGTTTATCACTGTAGAAGCAAGAGAGAGAGAGAGAGAGAGATGTGCGAGCATACATTCACGATCGAGTAGGCTCTGAGGAATTAGGAGAAAACTATTATACGTGGCCACTGATTTTAGCAGGAAATTTCGATGTTAATTTCGCATCGATAGATGAACAATTCTTGATGAACTTTTTTCAAGATAAATTAGAACTTCAAATGAATAAAAATCAAAATGAGTCTACCACAAGGCATGGAACAGCAATCAATGCAATTTTCTTTAGATATCTTTCTAATTTTCATTCGAAAACATATGTATCTTATTTCTCATAGTTCAAGCCTATTGTCTCGGTCTTACAATCAATCGTCATAATTATTGATGTATCCGATATTGAAAACAATTAATAAAAATGAAAAATCTATTCAAAAATGTTAATTTATCAATGTAAACCCATAATAAATTTGAATATTTCTAGAAGCTATAGATATGATAAGATATTTGAAAAAATTTTGGCAACAACTCAATTTTCTCATATCAAAGTGGGTTGGAATTGCAGTTGAAGTATTCATCCAACCCTTCAAATACAATTTCAAACAGAACTGAGTTCATTAGGTTAGGTCACTTCATATTTTGTTGTCATTCACAGGTCGCTGAACTAGTCTGCAGCTTATGTGGGAATGCAAACAAACAACCATGGGAAAATTAATTGCTTCAATATTACGTATTTGCATGTTATTTAGTTAAATGTCAATTAACTTATTAAACGTCGTTGCTATACGAGAGCAAAGCAAAGAAGACATTTATTTTTACAGAAAAAACTTCAATACCATCATCTCTGGGAAGTGGTTAGAGGGATAATTACATTTCATAAATGTCTCGTTTTTATAGCTAAAGCAGGGTTATTTTCCTCATTGCATGCATATAGTAATAACCCTTCACTATTGGTGATTTTGTACGAAAAGAACGTACAGATTTTTACACTCGATTAACTTTGATTTTAATTATATCAATTTTTTTTTAAAAACGAATTCTTTCGAAAAAGTATTCCGTACGTTACTTGCCACCCCGGCTTCACACGGATGCAATTTCATTGGGAACATAGTCTCAAATTTGAAAATAGAACGATTGTTTTGCCAGTCAAGCCCATGCATTTTTCCAAAATGTTAATTTGTAGTGATCCAATTTTCTTATAACTAGTCACGAAAATCAGATGGTACTTATTTTTTCCATGAAAACAGTTTGAACTTTAGACGCGGTGTTAGACTCAAGAGGTCTGTGGTGTGTTTGAGTCACGTGGGTCAAAATCAAGTCACAAATGATATACGCTTCAACACGCAGAAGATGTATTGGATATTTGAAATATATCGTGATTCATTCGTTTTACATCTGTCCACTGGAATTTCAAAATCAAATTTTTCGGAAAAGTGCAGAAAAAACACTACTCCAAAATTTTTATTTGACTAATTTTCAATAGGTTTCATTCTCTTCTTTTCAATGTTTTTCAGAAACACAGAAGTGTAAAATGAATGAGACTCATGCTGTATATAAAAAGAATGTGATTTTAATCTTAAATCTATCATTCAACGAAAAGAATTGAACACCCGTAACTTCTGGTCCTCCAGATCATATGTATGAAGTGCGTAAGGGCAATTAAATAAATGCAAGTAGGTACATAGTGCACTCCATATTGAGTGATGATAGCCGTAGGAGAAGTAATGAGGTTTGATGGTGAACTAGTTGTTGGAGCTCTAGGTCAGTTCACATGGAAATCAACGCATTAACTAACCCGTGTGGATTCCAATCCAGTGAAAATATAGGGATAAAAAGTGGCCTCTGTGGCATTGATAGTGGATAATATGTAGGTTATCAATAAAGTAATAGACTTTCAGCATTTTTATTGGCAATGTAATTCATAAACGGATAATTCAGATAACTCAAAGAGAAATTCACATGTTCATAGTCAACATCCGTAGGAACGTCCCATTTTTTTGAAAATATATTATAATCCAAGACCTGAAAAATCAGCAGTAGCCCATCATATTTTGCAACAAAACCATTCCATAGATTTCAGTTCATTAAGATTAGTTAGACAAGTTAACAACAACTGACAACTAGATGCCTATTTTTTTGAAAATATATTATAATCCAAGTTAGCTGAAAATGCTATAGTTATCTATATCGAGGTTTGTTGGAATACTTTCTGAAATTGGCTGAGTAATTTTTTAAATTCATCCATCAAAAACAAACATACAAAAAACCAAGTCTTTCCTCTTTGTAATACAAGTATATGAGTTTAAATTATGCGTTAACCTCAGAGGCACGTCACCAGATCTCCCAAATTACTTTCTTTTCGACTAATACAGTTACATTGGTTGTCTTCATTTTATTCATATCTCGATGAAACATAATAGGTAAAATACATAATCCTTCGTCGAATTGATAAAAAAGCTTCATGTTCCAACAAACTTCAGTTAGCTTCTTTGCGGTTGAATCATTAAAAAAGTCGTGAACGGAGTCGAATCTTCTCGAGAAATCATTAAATTTAATATTAGTGAAACCAAAAACCTTTTCTCAACACCAATTCCATATTCAGAATACTAGGACGACTGGCCGAATAAAAATAAACGATCGGAAATGAAATTGGCTGTGGTTAGAATTGAGTATTTTTATTGAATACAGTTTTATTTTCACTTATGATAATTTCATCGTATTGAATATTCTTACAAGAGACTGCTTTTTTACCAATCATAATGTCGGAATAACTGTATGGGAGTAGAACAGTGTGAAATATTTATATGCAAAACAAATCGTTATACAGGATGATTCTCGATGTGTGTCAATTTCACGCTGTAAAGTCTATTTCAAACAATGGTAGAAAAAACGACTATAAAAAGATTTCGTAATATTCGAGAAGTCTTCATAAGCGAACAACAAATATTTATTGGTATATATTTTCGACTTTTGATATATTGAGGTGAAATTAACATTTGTGAAAAAAATTATTTTAATTTTGTTAGTAAAAAATTCGCCGCAGATTACTATATTTATTTATTTATTTGTATCCAAACAGATCAAAGGTCTAA